GGCCCTCAGGGGGCCCCAGGGGGCCCCCTGGATTTCGAGGGGGCAGGGGCCTCGCTGGGGGGCCCCCGGGGGGCCCCAGGGGGCCCCTACCGGCGCCTGTAAAGGGCCCCAAGGGCCCCCTTGGGGCCCCCAGGGTATTTTAAAGGGTTCATCAGCAAGAGGGGGCCCCCGGGGATTTACCTGCTCTTCAACTTCTTGAGAAACTCCGCCGATGAAGAAGCGAAGCTGGCGGGGGGGCTTGGGCCTCTCCGGCCATTCCTCTGGGTGCAGCAGCAAACCCGCAGCAGCAGCAGCAGCAGCAGCAAGGAGGCAGCGGCAGCAGCAGCAAGCACCAGCAGCAAAGGCAGCAAGGCGTACAGCTCAGCTGCGAGAGGGTCCAGCACTAACTAGAACTTGCTGCTGCTGAAGCTGCAGCTTTCTAAATTCTCCGCAGCAATTAGGAACAGCTATTTACTCGAAGTGTTTAGCTTTTCAATTACTTCCATTTGGTAAAATATCTTTGTACAAGAGCTTTCTAAATTGTTTTGGCAGCTGCAGCTGCTGCTGCATGCATGTATGCATTTGCTGCTACCTGAAGGCGACGGGCGCAGGCTCTCTGAGCTTTCTGGGGGGGCGTCTGGGGCTGCGGAGCCCGCAGCTTCTGCTGCTTCAGCAGCAGCAGCAGCAACAGCAGCGGCAGAGGGCCCCGAAGCAGCTGCCGCGGAGCCGCAGGAGGCCCCTAAGCCTTCTGGATTGTCTTCTGATGGATTAGCAGTGCTGGGGTGGGGCGAGAGAGCTGCTGCGTGCGCCATCTGCTGCTGCTGCTGCTCTCCTTCTGCTTCTCGGCTGGTGCTGCGGTCGCGGATCCTCTGTGCTGCTGCGGCCTTATAGGGCCAAAGAAGGGTTCTTAGACTGTCAGTTGTATTTGTAGCATGTAGGAAATGAAATAAAACGGGAAAACGCCCTGGGGGCAGCGCTCAGGTGTACAGACACTCATCGATCCTGCAGGCCTGCAGGCGATGCACCAACGGCTCCCCGGTGGGCTGGGGCTCTGCAGGGGCTTTCCTGAGCACACTAAACACTGTGAAAAGTAAGGCAAGTGTTATTTGCATTTCAGAATGAAATAAAAGGTGGCTTTGGCATGCATGGCTCACAAGCGGGCCTCGGGCTAGACAGCCCGCGCCGTGGGAGAGGCGGCAGCAGCCACTGCGTGCAGATCTTCTGCGAAACAGATGGATATTCCCCCCTATTGACCCTTAAAAGATTAATAAATGTAATTAATTAATAATCTTTTAGCTAAAAACCTGAATTTATCCCTCTTAAGATTCAGATCACTTCAAGTTTCAGATAGCAGCGCCGCAGTGGCTGCGTCGACCGACCCTGCCAGAAGGCCAGATAGACAGTCGGCGCTGCCAGCTCGCTGCAACTCTCCACTAAAATATTCTAAAAAGAAAAATAAACTCTTTTTAAAATAGTTTTATTTGCTTTATTTATCTTCTTTTGGTTTCCGTGCCTTCGGGCTGCTGCTGATAGATCCAAGGCGCCAACCACATACGCGGCGGCAGCGGCAGCAGCAGCAGCTGCTGCTGCTGCTGCAGCTTCTGCGCCCACTGGGAAGTCAGCAGCAGCACAGGGTCGGGCCTGCTCTCGAGCCTTCAGCGTTGCATTCCTCAAGACAATTAATTAAGCTTCTTGGCCAGTTAGGTTGCTGTTTGCTGCAGCAACTGCAGCATTTATAAATATCCATTTAAGCTAATCTGTCTTGAGGGTGTCAGTACACGGGGCCCCCAGCCAAAACCCAATCTCAAAGTCCTTGGGGGCCCCCAAGTCTCTTGGGGGCCCCCGTGGGGGCCCCCCAGAGCCTTGGGGGCCCCTGGGGTCCCGCTGCTGCACTTCTGCAGCCTTTGCTGCCAGTTAAAGATCTTTAAAGCCCCAAAAGAATCAGAAGATAATATTAAAATTAATAAGAATAGTTTCAAATCCATAATTACCCCCAGGGGGCCCTCTGCACTTTGCTGCTGCCAAGTGGGGCCCCCGCCCAGCCTGCTGCTGCTCTTTGGCTCTGCAGCAGCAAAAATGCATGCGCTGCTTCTATACCTGCTGGCCTAAGAGCAGCAGAAGCTGCTGCAGCTGCTGCAGCTGCTGCAGCTGCTGCAGCAGCAATTTGCAGCAAAGATCAGAAGCTGTTTGAAGCAGAAAGTCTTTTCAAATTCTTTATTAAGAAGTTCAGCAGCTAGAAAGCCACTCGAAGATCTGCTGCGAGTTTGCTGCGCCAGCGCTGCTGCTGCTGGGCCGAAGCAGCAGCAAAAGAGCAACAGCAGCAGCTTCTTGCTGCTGCGTGCTGCACAGCGGAGCCGCAGAGCTGCTGCAGCTTGCTGCTGCTGCGGATCGCCCTGCTGCTGCTGCAGCACCTTCAGAGGCCCCCACGAGGGGCCCCCGGATATAAATAAACTAAAGGGCCTTCTGGCTGTTGGCCGCAAGGCTCCCCAATTCCTTAAGTTGCTTCAGTTTTGAAGTAAGTGCAGCAGCAAGCTCAGCGGCAGGCGCAGCAGCAAACTCAGCAGCAGATGCAGCAGCAGATTCAGCAGGACGCAGCAGCAGCAAAGCAGCACAAAGGGCCCCACTGCCTGTCTCTGTAGGCGCTGGCTGCAGCTGTCTGCCTCGTGTGAAACTCTGACGTGAATTCAAGAGCCAAAACGAGTTCAAATACCTTTCTGGGGCTCCTTAAGCTCGAATTAAAAACAAAAATAATATTTAAATGCATGTTGTTGGCCCCTTTAGCTCAAATTTAGGAGAAAAAAGAGAGTTTAAGTGCCTTTCTGGGGCCCCTGAGCTTGCGGCGGTGGTTCAGCATTTTGGCTCTGTGGGGGCCGCTCGCACGTCTTGCTGCCATTCGCTGCGAACTTAATTCAGCGTTTTATATTTAATTTCTATTTTAATTGAATTTAAAATTTAAAATGATTCAAATAATGATCAACTCAGTCCTGCCTGGGGTTTCGCCTGTGGCCCAGACTCGGAGTGACTACCACAGCCCCATAACGGCGGGGGCCCCTCGGGGCCCCTCAGGTCCCCCCAGGCCTTCTTCTCCTTCGCCTCGTCTTTATTTTGAAATATTTAAATTGAAAAATACCTTTTTGCAAAACGACTGCGTCGCGTATATCCATTTTCCTTCAGCAGGCAGCACTAGCGCTGCTGGGGGGCCCGTGCTGCAGCAGTCCTCACAGCGAGGCCTTTTACTTCTTACTCAGAGTATTTTGTCTTCACACGAGGCCCCACTCATTCAAGCCTTTAATTCTTTTCATTCATTTGAAATCTTAAAATATCGAGGGTCCCGGTTGGGCTGCTGCTGTAGGCCGGGGTAAATAAGCAGCAACAGCAGCAGCAGCTGCTGCTGCTGCATCGGTCTGCGCGGAGCAGCAGCAGCAGCAGCAGCAGCAACAGCAGCAGCAGCAACTCAGTCGCATTCTTGCACAATGGATTCCTCCGCTGGCTCCTCAGCTCTCCCCGCAGGTTCCACAGCCTGTGCTGGGGGCAATTCCACTGCAGCGCCGTCAGCGGCAGCAGCAGCAACGACAGCAGCAGCAGCAGCGACAGCGGCATCAGCAGGAGTTGATGTGGCAGCAGTGATCTCACCGTCGGCAGAAACTGCAGCCTCAGCAGGAACAGCAGCAGCATCAGCAGCAGGAGTTGCAGCAGGACCTGCAGCAGGAGCTGCAGCAGGACCTGCAGCAGCAGCTGCAGCTCCTGCTGCAGCAGCAGCAGCGACATTCCCCCTCTCTGGCCTGCTGCTGTTCAACTGGCTCACAGCTCACTTCCCCTGCAGGCTCTTTGCTGACAGCAGCCGCGCCATTCGCCTTTTGCCGCAGCAGCTCTTCAGAGTGCATCCCTCGCCTCTTGTGGCGCGGCTCATGCAGCAGCAGCAGCAGCAGAGGCAGCAGCAGCAGCAGCACAAGTGCCTTTTTTTGCAGCAAGCGTGGCTGCAGCAGCAGGCGCCCACAGACGTGGAGGGGGCAGGCCTCTCTAGCCACGGGGAAAAGGGCCATCAGGATCAATGCGACGCACTGCCCTCTAGCAGCAGCAGCAGCAGCAACAGCAGCAGCAGCAGCAACAGCAGCAGCAGCAGCAGCAAGTCTTGCGTTTGCGAGCATTTAAGGGGCTTCAGAGGGACTGCTTGGAGCTGCGGCCTCGGGGACTCCCCAGAATACTCCGGGGGCCCCGGGGGCCCCCGCTGCTCCCTGGACAGCTTTTGCTGCTCTTGTGCGTTTGCTGCTGCTGCTGCTGTTATATCTTTTGCCTTATTTTACTACCTGTGTCTTAGCTCTTTCTGCGCCCCTCAATGGACTGACACTATTGCTTCTGCTGCTGCTCTTGCTGTTGCTGCTGCTGATCCGGTTGCTGCTGCTCTTGCAGCTGCTGCAGCTGCTGCTGCCGCTGCTTCCCCCTGCGGAGCTCTTGCATCTCTGTATCTGCTGCTGCGCTGCTTCTGAGAATTTGCGCAGATGCATTTGCTGTCTCCCAGGAGGGTACTTGCGATATATTCCCTTCGAGGCAGCAGCAGAACGATGGCAAGCAGCAGCAGCAGCAGCAAGGGCAGCAGCAGCAGCAAGGGCAGCAGCAGCAGGAGCCGCATGCTGCAGCAGGTGGCCTTCTTCCTCCACCTGCAGGGAACGTGAGACTTTCAGTAGACAGCGGCTGTGAAGGGGCTCTTTTGTCGCTGCAGCAGCAGTTGCTTGCTGCTCAGCAACTGCTTGCGGCTGCAGCAGAGAAGCAGCAGCAGCAGCAGCAGCCGCACGGGATGTGCACTGAAGACGGCGCTGCTCTTCCTTTTGAGCTTCAGGAAAGGCCCCTGGCCACTGTCAGGGAGCTCTTTTATTTTTTATGGGGCCCCGCAGGTGTGCATCTCAGTAGATGCTTTGCTGCTGCTGCTGCTGCTGCTGCTGCTGCTGATGCACAAACTGGGGCTGCTGCGCCGCACCGTGCTGCTGCCTGCTGTTGCTGCTGAAATGATTGCGTTTTGCTTCTCGTTTGCACTTTCGCCTGTCCGGTTTCTTGGCTTGCTGCTGCTTTTTTGCTGCTTCCTTTTGCCTCAATTTGCTGCTTGCTGCTCTGCTTCTCTCCAGCTGCTGCTGTTGCTGCTGCTGCTGTTTGCTGCAGACAGCTGCCTGGCTGTGGACGCAGCAGCCTGCGACTTTGCGCACTGGCGGCTTTCGCTGAGCTTCTGCAGCAGATGTTCCAGGGCGAAGCCGCTGGTGCTTGAAGAGGCAATAAGCCTCACCCCCAGCAGCAGCAGCAACAGCAGCAGCAGCAGCAGCAGCAGGGATTCAGGGCAGAGGAACCACGGAGAGGCGGAAGCAGCAGACAGGAGCCTTGCTGCTGTTGCTGCAACTTGCAGGTGCTGCTGCTTGCGCTGCTGCTGCATCCGAGTGCCTCCGGCGGCTCTGGTGGCTGTGGCTCGCGACGACTTCCGCCTCCCCCCAGAGTGCAGCAGCAGCAGCAGCAGCAGCAGCAGCAAGCGGGCTTCGTCTAACCGGCTGCTGCGCTGCACAGAGGTACGGCTGCGGCTGTGCAGGCTGCAGGCCGCAGGGAGGGCCGGCAGCAGCATTTCTTGCAGCGTTTGCTTCGCGCTTTTTTCCTTTTTCTAGCTTCAATTTCTTTTTAATTTCTGTTAAGTTCCTTTTTTATTTCTTTTTTTTTAGGATTGGAGGTCTCCCGAGCCTTCTAGCGATGATGGCTCATGGCTTTCAGAGCTGCCTTCTTCTCCCAGCACCCCCCCGCTCTCCCCGCCTGGCGCAGCAGCAGCAGACTCCCCCGAAGCAGCAGCAGCAGACTCCCCCGAAGCAGCAGCAGCAGACTCCCCCGAAGTAGCAGCAGCCGCAGCCCTGCCCCCTCTGCCAGCAGCAGCAGCTGTTGCTGCTGCTGCTCATGCTGCAGAGCAGCCAGCAGCCTCCTGCGTAGCTGCAGGAGCCCCAGAAGAAAGCAAGGGAAGGGGCAGCGGCAACAGCAGCAGCAGCAGCAGCAGCAGCGCAAGTGCTGCTGCTGCAGATGCTGCTGTGGCCTCACTGCTGCGCTGCTTAGCTGCATGCATTCCCCGCGCAGGGGGCCGGGTGACCCCGCTGCTGAACAACAGCAGCTTAGAAGACGCAGGGTGGATTGTGGTTGGGGCCCGCAACAACAGCAGCTTTGAGTTTGCTTCGCAGTCTGCTTCGGCCCGCAGCTTCCTGGCCTTTGCATGCACAGAGCCCTGGGAGGTGCTGCTGCTGCTGCACGCGGCAGCAGCCACAGCAGCAGCCATTGCCCAGCCGATGCAGGGGTGCGCGGACTTCTGTTGTCCTGCTGCACCTGCTGCTGCTGCTTCTGCTGCTGCCTTTCCGCCTGTGTCCTGTGCCGCTGCGGCTGCTACAAAGAGCACAGTGGTGCGGCGGCTGGAGTCGCGGCGCGGGGTGTATGAGTTGGTGCTGGGCGGGCGATTTGAACAGCTGCAGCAGCAGCAGCAGCAGGAGCAGCAGCTGCAGCAGCAGCAGCTGCAGCAGCAGCAGCAGCAGCAGCAGCAGCAGCAGCAGCAGGATAGCTCAGGCCACGCAGCCAGCGCAGACGCGGGGGTGGTTTGCTTACCGCTGCCCCTGTGCCTCACTTTGGTGGAAACCGAGCAGCTGCAGAAGGGCAAGGAGTTTCGTGTCTTCGTAGCTGCGGGACTTCCTGTTGGTCCGTCTTATTTTATTTTATTTTATTTTGTTTTGTTGTATTTTATTTCGTTTTATATTGTTTTATTCCAGTTTTTCTCAAGTGCATGTTGGCTATATGCGCGCAGCAAAAGGTCCCGCGTGCCCGCTGCAGCAGCTCGCCGCCTCTGCTGCTTATTAAAAACAAATGAAAAATAATTATTATTATTCATAAGGCACGGTCGAGCTGCAGCTTGCCCTTGCCTCTTATTTTGTGGGATGGAATTGTTGCTTGCAGTGTACATGCTGGCGCAGTGTGCCCCGTGGCAAAGCATTTTGGCAGCTAGCTAGCTACCTAGCTAGCTAGCTGGCTGGCTAGCTGGATTTAGCTGCTTTGGTGGCTAGCTAGCTAGCTGCCCAGGCAGCTAGCCAGCTAGAAAGCTGGCCAGCGACCTGTCCTTGGGCCTTCTTCTGTGTCTACGTGCATGTGCGACTTTATAGTCTCCATAGCCTCGTCTGGCTTGAGGCAGGTCTTTGCTGCTGCTGCTGCTGCTGCTGCTCTTGTTTGCAGGCGTCAGCCAGTTGTGGCTTGCTGAGTGCCTTCCCGAGCTGTGCAGCAGGCCCTCAGTAAGGCGGCGAATGCGGCAGGCCGTGTGGCGTTTCGTGGTGAAGTGCTTTGGCCGCCGCCTGCAGCAGCAGCAGCAACAGCAGCAGCTGCTGCCTCCGCTCTTTGCAGCTGATGTGTACATACACCCCAACACGGACGGCACTGACACGTGCAGGTGAGAGCCCGCTGCGGTGTACATACAGCATACAAACATAAGCACTGTCCAAACGAGGCGCAAACCTTGCCTTCACAGAAGTTCAAATTGCCATGCATGCATGAATGAATGGCCATGCATGCAGCATGCATGCATGCATGCATGCATGAGCGCACTTCGTGGCCAGCTGCGCATGCATACGCATGCATGCGCATGCATGCGCATTCAGGCTGCTGCGCCTGAGCCCGTGGGGCTTCCTGACGGACCCGCTTTTGTTTACTTACGAGGAGCTCCGCACTGCCGTGCTGAAGCGCTGCTGCTCAGCCTCAAGATTCTGTGAGGCTTGCCGCGGGGCCCCTCCCCAATACCCCACAGGGTCTAGCCTCCCCCAGGGGCCCGAGGGGCCCCGGGGGCCCCCAGAGGGGGCCCCCGGGGTCCCCGCAGGCGGAGGCCCCGAGAGGGACTGCGAGTGCTGGAAAGCCTGCACACTTCGATATGTCCAAGGGACCGACGAAGAGGTTCATGACACTCAGCGCGTCCTGGCGATGCCGCAGGTGCTGCTCAGGGCCTCCAGATGCTGCTGCTGCGCTGCTTGGCGGGGGCCCCTGCTGCTGGTGCCGCTTCTCGGGGCCCCCTGGGCCCTGCTGGCCTCGGGGCTGGGGAGGGTTTGCTGCTGCTGCGCTTCCCCGTGGCTGTTGCTGCGCTGCTGCCTGCTCACTGCCTGCCTCTGCTTGTCTTCTTCTTCTGTCTTTCCCTACTTTCTCACTTTTACGTATTCTTAATCAGCTCGCTACCATCGGCCTAACTATATGTGTATATGAATCTGCATATATATATATATACTATATATATATATATTGTAGCTGTTTGCGTCGAAGTTTATTCATTTCCCTTTATAGTGCCCCAGTCGTTTCTGTTTTTGCTGCTGCCTCTGCTGCAGGACCTGCTGGAGATTGCGAGGGGCGGGAGTAGCTGTGAAGTGGAGCAGATGTTGCTGGACTTGAAGTCAGCGCATGCAGACACAATTAAGCAGCAGAGAAAAAGAGATGAGCAGCGCAAAAAGAGGAAATAATAATGATGCGAAAAATGCAAATTGTGCAGAAGGCAGGGAAACAAAAGTCGCCAGCACAGCACAATTCAGCGTCTTTTGCGCCACTCACCAACGCATGCATGCATACCACCACACGGCTGTGCATGCATGCAAAAGTGCATGCATGTGTTGTGCGAGAGGCGGGAGGGGGTTCTTTGCAGCGAGAAGACAGGCCTATAGAGGAAGCTTTGCTTTGTGTTCTGGTGTCTGTGTACACTCCAAGCTGCCCAGCGGGCTGCGCCCACAGAAAAATGCTCCTTTACTTGCTATTGGCCCCCCCCCCAGAGAAGGGCCAGGGAATGTCCAGGCAAGGAGCTGCATGCGAGAAGTTCAAGTGCGTCCTGAGGCAGCAACAGCCCCAGGGCAGTGCAGCACAGCAATAGTCCCACAGGGGCTCTTTGGGGAAACTTGTCACATGTTTTGATTGTCTTTCCCTTAACAATCATAAAATTGCTTCATTTTGACTCAGTGGACTTGCCTATTGTCAACGCCGCTTGTTACCCGCGGCACAGCTTGTGCTGCCGTTGCGCAGTGGAGAGAGAAGTTTGGACTCTTAAAAAAGGCAGCAACATATAAAATAGTTGTGCAAATAAGCATTTGGCTATTATTTATAAATATATGTACATTGATATCGCATTTGATGGTGCGTCAGCGCATCGTAAAGATACACAACGTGCATACTCCCACATCCACATGAATATATGTACAAATGTACGTGTATGGATTCATACATAAGCAAGTTCAAGATGCCGCTGGAGAAGAGGCCAAGATGGCATATAAGCTGTTGCGTAATTTATCTCAAAGCTTTTGTCTCAGTGAGACACTAGAGTGGCGCGGAGCTGAGACTGACTCCACAGCTTGCACGCACTCACACGCTCCTAGCTAAACCCTAAACCCTGAACCCTAAACCCTAGACCCTGAACTCTTAACCCTAAAACCTACGCAGCGTAGTCTACGCCATCTACAGGCTCCCACTGAAGTCCACTGTACGTACACTTGAGTTAGTTCATGCGACGGTACATGTGCTTCCTTAAGAATAGGCCACACAGAACAGATGCATGCATGCGTACACATATGTGTATGTGCATGCCTACATAATTGTGCAGTATATGTACATGTCTGGATGTATCCCTATAACATATATCTTTTCTATATATATTCGTGTAGCGTATGCTTGCGCTATAAATGCGTTTCTGCATATTCCCCTCTAACACATACTTGTGCTATATTTGTTTGTCGACACTTATTCGTACAACATGTGCTTTCGTATATTTACGTGTGTATATAAATACATTAAGTGCAATTGCGTGAGTGCATGCATCTGCTCTCAAGAGTCAGTGCCCAGGGCAGTCTCACTGGTGAGTGCAAAACCCTCCGTTTACTTTTTCAAGCCAAAATTATCGCCAACAAATAAATGAAACTTGCAGAGGCCTCACAAGCCACGCTAATGCTGGGTGTGGCTGCGGGAGGCGCTGCGATTGGATGTTGCAGAGCAGCAGCTGCAGCAGTATCAGCAGTAGCAGCAGCTGCTGCAGCAATCGCTCGCGCTGCGGCAGTAACAGTGCCGGCCGCAGCCCAGCAGGTCTTTCGGATGCAAAGATCCTTCCCTCTTACTCTCAACGCCATTCATCAATCGAGAAGGTGACCACTGGTCAATCAGGGTGACCACTGGCCCACTGGGCCTCGTGAGACTCCAAACCAGGAAGCCTCAAGTGCTGCTCGAATAGCAGCTAGACTCTGAATAAAACTGTGCTTGGTCTCCTACCTTCATTGCTCTCCACATAGGAAGCAGCAGCTGCAGCTGCACGAGGCTGCTGCAGTCAATTACGAACAGCTGCTGCTAGTGTCCACTAGGAACAGCTGCTGCTAGAGTCCATTATGAGCAGCTGCAGCAGCAGCAGCAGCTGCTCCTCGTTCCCGCAGTGCTGCAGCTAATGCTGGGCTGTCAGACCTCGGAAACGGCGGAGGGGTGCAGGTCACCAATCGGATTAAATTTGTGCTTCTGCAGCAAAACAGAGGGCAATATGAACAGTAACCACAATAAGGCAAGATCCTCTTTGCTGCAGCTCCTGCAACAGCGTTTCCCGCTGCTGCCGCTGCTGTGCTACAGCACTAGGTCCTGCTACTCGCTGCTGCTGCTGCTGCTAATAAGCTACAGCTCTAGGCCCTGCTTCTTGCTTCCGCTAGAGATGGCTATAGAAACAGTGTGAGTAAGAAAAAGAAAGTGCTGCTGCTGCCTCACGGTCTTGTTATGCTGCCGTTTGTCTGCCGTGATCAGGGTGACAGCAATGACCGCCGAAACCACAGCCACCATGCCCACAAAGTACCACCCGTCAAACCTGCAGCAGCAATCCCAGCGGCAACAGCAGCAAAAGCACACGCAGCAGCAGCAGGGAGAATACACAAGTTGAGCACTGTGGGCATAGTCACTTTGTCTGCACCTAGCGCTGTGGCATACCTGCCGAGAAAACGCAGAATTCAAAACAGGAGAATAAGGATATTGGCAAATTTATTATATTGTGCTTACCGCCGGCCAAATATAATGGCATCTAACCATAAAGAAATAGGAATCTGCACATTGGAGGCCGCCGTGGCCACCACCGGGTTCAGCAGGAACACCGCACGGCCTGCGACAGCAGAACACCCAACGCAAAGTCTGTGGATTTACCTGTTTAATTTTACTCAAGGAGAAAAAAGAGCATGCAAACAGATTTCAAAATGTGAATTCAGGCACGGAGACCGGAAACGGTGCATGCAGCAGCCAGAGAGGCACAACGACTTGAAACTGATGAAACACGCAGCCGACCAAGAGGTATAAGAAGTGAAACTCACAGCAACTGTTGAGAAGAAGAAACAACAAGTAGTAACACAGCAGCAAACAAGCTCCTGAAAGCTGGTGGGGCCCCACAGAGGCACAAAGACGCAAATGGGGGCGCCCGCGGGCAAGCAACTGCTCTTGCAGCAGCACACAGCGCCACATGCACACACAGGGCCCCCCGTAGCCGCCGCAGCTAGAGAGGTAAGTATTGGAATAGGATTTATATTCTATATATCGATCTATATTCAATATACAGATATGCGAGTAACAAAAAGCAGACCCCAGGAGCGCCCCCACAAGCAGCAGTTCCGCAACAAAACGAACTGCCCAGCCACTGGAAGCAGGAATAGTGCAGCCGTCGCTCAGCCCGGCATTGACTGCTAGCCACGGCTGCCAGCGAGCTATCCATCCACCCATCTACCCATGCAGCTAGCCAGGTAGCCGTCCAGTTAGCCAGTAGCTAGCTGGAGAGCTTATCAGCAGATCGCTAGCCAGCCAGATTGCTCAGCGGACTGGCCCGAAAGCTGCGGCCCAACGACTGACCCCAGCAAATGTCCGCAAAAGCCGTGCCCACGAGCCCACAGAGAAGCAGCACTGCCCAGGAGAAGGCATCGGGCCACATGAAGACCTCCAGCTGCAGCAGGTGCAGCAGCAGCGTCAACAGCGGCAAAGCCACCAAGACCCAAAGTCCCATCAGTCTATAAACCCACCACAAAACAGATCACACACATGCACGATGCGCCGCTGGATTCCAGAAGAAACAACAGGAACTGCAGAGCAGCAGCAGCAGCAGCAGCAATAGCAGCAGCAACCGTCGCAAGCAGCAAGAGGCAGCTGAAGAGCGAACCCGTAGATGAGGTCCACATCAAAGTCAGGGTCAAAGTTCTCTTGTGCCTTTAAGGCCGTCGTGTGCAGCGCGTAAGCAGCAGCAGCAAGAAAGGCTAATACATAGCCTAAGAAGGTGTCTGTGGCCCCGTGTTCAGACGCGTACACCATTCCCTCACTGCCGCCTCCGCCTGCTGCTGCTGCTGCTGTTGGTGCTGCTGCTTCTGCCGCTGCTGCTGGCGCCGCTACTAATAGTGGTGCTGCTGCTGGTTGTGGTTGCGGCGCAGCAGCCGCTGCTGCTGCCGCTGCGGGGGTGGCGGCCTGCGCTGCTTCTCCCTCGTCAACAGGCGTCTGTGTTGCAGCAGCAGCCGGCACAGACTTCTGCTGTGTTGTTTCAACAGGTGCTGCCTCTCCAGGCAGAAGAGGGGGCCTCCTTGGGGGCCCCCCATGGGGCCCCTCCGCGGCTGCTAACCCTCCTTCGGGCCCCTCGAGGCCCCCCGCCTCGGCCTCCTGGACCCCAGAAACTGCCAGTGCCCCTACAGGGGCAGCTGTGAGTTCATCTGCGGGGACTTTATTACCTTCTTGAAGAGATAGTGAAAGTTCCTTTTGGGGGCTGGCAGCTGCTGCCGCCGCCGATGCTGCTTCTGCTGCTGCTGCTGCAGCTGCTGCTAGTCCTGGTGATTCTGCAGCGAGCGTTGTTGACCCTGGCGCTCCTTCTGAGAGTGCCACAGCAGCCTGTGCTGCTTTTGTTGGTCCTGCTGCTGCTGGTGTTGTTGCTGCCTCTGGCAGTGCTGCTGGGGTTTCTGCCGCAGGTAGTTCCGTTGCTGCTGGCGCTGCTGCTTCCGCTGCTGGCACTGACATCACACCGACGATGCCTTCACTCGAGAGCTTAGGCAGTTCCAAAGCATTTGGCTGCTGCAGCTGCTGCACGTGCTGCGCTGCATCCGGCTGAGCTACCTGAGTTGCTGCTGCTGCTGCTGCAGCAGCAGCAGCAGCACCAGCTGCTGCTGCAGCGCGCACGGTGTCTGTTTCGGGCGCTGTGGGCACGTGGGAGGAAATCAAAACCACCCCAGCAGCCAAGACCAGCAGCCAGGATAGCACCGCCTTCCTCGGACTTTGTTTTAAAAAGAAAACAGCAAGAAAGTAAGACAAAAAAACAGAAGTGCTCTGCACCACGGAGTTGGAGGTCAAGGTCAGGGCTGTCAGGCTCGCGTCGAAGGCCAGCTGAGCAACTGCAGCAGCGCCCACACGCAGCGCAGCAGTCCTTCAGCCCCTGAAGCAGCAACGCCAGTAGCAACGCCAGCAGCAGCAGCAGTAGCAGCGGCAGCAGCAGCGCGGCCTGACCTAGCCACAGAACTGTCAGTGGCACTGTGCTCTTGACGCTGCGCATTCTTGTGTTGAGTTCCTTTACTGCCAGACTCTCCCTGCCTTCGGCCTCGAGGCCCCAGACTTCATCTGCTGCTGCTGCTGCTGCTGCTGCTTCTTCTGCTGCTGCAGCAGTAACTGGGGACAAACAATGAGTGGTTTCGCCATTGCTCGGGCTGCCCCTGCCGAGGCCGCTGCAGCAGCTGCTGCTGCTGCCGCTGCTCACTCCCTCCAAAGCGGCAATGCGGCGGCTCACCGCAGCAGACCCTGCGGTTCCCGCTGCTGCTGCTGCTGCTGCTGCTGCTGCGGTGTGGTGACAGCTGACAGCTGGCAGGCCTGACCCAGGGACTCCTGTGGAAGACCTCGAAGAGACGCAGACGCCTCCGTCATCTCTTCTTTCGCAAGGAGACAAACAAAGTGCAGAAGCAGCAGCAGCAGCAGCGGGCTCAGGTGACTGCTGCTGCTGCCGCTGCCGCACAGCAGCAGGACTCTGCGGTGCTCCCGTCGAGGCTGCTGCTGGGGCTACGGAAGAGCAGCGGGGCCCCCGAAATCTTACAATTAAAAGTCTTAGGGGCAGCAGCAGCAGCCGCAGCAGCCGCCGGATCTTCCTTCTCCGTCTTCCAAGAACCGCAAGCGACCCCCCCTCTTGCTGCTGCTGCAGCTGCTGTTGGTGGCGCTGCTGCTGCAGCAGCCGCAGGCAGCTGTCGATGCTGAGGACGTGCGCATCTTTAGCTGCACCCGCAACAACAGCAGCAGCAGCAGCCGCGGCGGACGGAGCAGCAGGTGAGCGCACCAACGCTGGCAGCCCCAAAGACCGCGCCGCAGCAGCAAACAAGGAGCAGCAGCACAGCAGCAGCAGCACAGCAGCAACCCCACAACTAAGAAGCCAGGGGCCCCCAACTCACCCAAGAAGCCCGCGAGGGTCACCTGCCATATGGGGGCCCTGAGGCCCCTCTCGCCACCTCCGGGCCGCCAGGCGCTGCTGGCGCGCAGCGCAGCAGCAGCAGGCAGCAGCAAAAAGACAGAAGGGCATGCACTTTGTACCAAAGTGGAGAAGAGGGGCCTCGGGAAGTCTGCTAGGAAGAGCAGCTGCAGCAAAAGAGAAGTGGCGCTCCACAGAAAGACTGTGACCAGCAGCAAAAACAAACCCCACAGACAAGACGCGGTGACACGGCACGTCAAGTGTCTGTACACCCGAAGAAAACACCCACGCACGCGGTCGCAGGCCATCTGCAGAGGGCGCGGGCGCTCACCAGCAGCAGCAGTGCTTCCTGCTGCTGCTGCTGCTGCGGGTGCGGCTGCGGCTGCTGCTCCTGCTGCTGCCGCTGCGACTGCTGCTGCTGCTCGACGCTCCCCTGCTGCTGCTACTGCGGCTGCAGCTCCTGGCCAGCTGCACCTTCCGCCTGTCCGCAGCAAACCTGACTGGGGCAATTGAGCCACTCGCGCGCTGCCCCGCTCTGCGAAGTGTATGTACACCGCAGCGCTGGGCCTCTCCAGAACAAAAAGAGGAGAAGAGACGCAGCTGCACTTCTTTAGAATCCCAGGAGAAGGCAGTGGCAGTGAACAGTGAGTGCCGCTAATGTCCGCAGTAGGGGAGGGGCTTCGGGGGGTAGCGGGCGAAGGCGGCTTCGGTTTCCCCTCATGTAGATGCAGGAAAAAATTAAAATCAATGTTTTTTAATTATAAAGCCAGAAGACAATGCAACCGGCTGGACTCATATCGAGGTACGCCGCCGAAGAGGAACAGCACGTGGGCTAGCCTTGGCGCTGCGTCGGGGCTGCAAGGCAACACGTTGTCTTTGTTTTGATAATTTTCTTTCAGTGATGCATTTATTTTGAAGTCAAAAAAGGCGAGAAAGGTAAAAAGTAGGAGAAGAAGCCTCCCGGAGCCCTGCGGGGCCCCCTGCCGCTGCTAGCGACGACGAGCCGAGCAGCAGCCACGCAGCACCGCATGCTGCATGGAAGCGGGCGCTGCAGCTTTGTCTTCTTGTTTCTTCTCTTTTTATGTCGAAATTAATTTTTAATTGAATGACAGGCTCTCGGCGCGAATTACGGGCCGAAGAAGGTAGAGCCAGCTCTGCTGCGGGGGCATTCGGGGCTGCTGCCGACGCAGTGCTGGGTGCTCACGCAGCAAAGAAGAGAGCCCCTATACACGCGGAAGGCTGCTGCTGCAAGCCGCTGCAGGCGTTTTCTGCCACGCAGCACAAGATACGAGGCGGCGCTGCAGAGCAGCAGCTGGTGCGGCGCAGCAGGAGCGCCGCCGCAGCAGCAGAAAGCCCTTAGGAGTCCCCTTGAGACCCTTCACACGCACTCCCAGCCATAAACGCAGCAAAAAAAGAAGCATAAGCTTAGCGGGACTTCACTGGGGCCCCCCATGGCAACGTAAACAAACATTTAACTGCTTCCATGACCAGTGCCCAGCCAAAACAGTTAATACTATTGCTACTGTTAGTAAACTCCGCAGTAGGACAGCTAGCTGCAGCTGCACGGTGAGGCTCTGCTTGTGTGGCTTCTCAAGAATGCGGCTTGGCAGTGGCTCCCCTAGCAGGTTCCCTGTAAAGCACGCTTAGGGGCAGGAAGTGCAGCTTCCTACGTAGAACGAGCTAGCTAGCTAGCTAGCTGGCTAGCTAGCCATAGAAACGGCGACCAGGCAAGTCTCGGGGCTCCCCACAGGCCAAATGGACTCCGAGGGCCAGCAGCATGGGGCGGTGTCCCCGCTGGGCAGCGCCAGGGCCTCCCACGAAGACATAAGAAAAGTTGTAGGTGTGCTGCACCTGCAGCAAGAAGCAGAAAGAGATTCGGAGCTGCAGGAGCTCCACGACGCACACGAACTTCCCCGCGACAGATTCTCCCCTAGGGGCCACGAGGAAGCTGCGGCAGCGCCTGCACCGCCAGCAGCAGCAAAAGCAGCGGCAGCAGCAGGAATAGAAGCAAGAGCAGAAGCAGCAGCAGCAGCAGAAGCAGGGCGAGAGCCAGCTAGCTTTGAGAGAGGCGCGTCTAATTTGTCCCCCTCAAAAGAACATATAAGCGAAACTGTGGGAGGCCTCTCCCCGACCACAGACAGCTCCGCCCCCAATATGTGGTGGGGGGCCCCTGCTGCCTCCGGCGAGAATGAAGAAGCCCCAACCTTAAAGTCTGGGTCTTTTCTCAACGCGCAGCTGCATCAGGAGCAGCAGCAGTTGCTGCAGCAGCAGCAGCTGCAGCAGCAGCTACAGCAGCAACAGCTGCAGCTCGAGCAGCAGCAGCCACTGCATCTACAGCAGCAGCAGCAACTGCAGCAGCAGCTGCAACTGCAACAGCAGCAGCAGCTGCAACTGCAGCAGCAGCAGCAGCAGCACCTCCAGGTGCGTCAACAGCCGCTGCTATCGCTGCCGCAGGAGGAACCCGACTGGGGCCCAGCAGCAGGAGAATCAGCTGCTGCTGTTCCCGCGACGCTCACGGGTTTTTTGCGGCTAGCTAGAGATGCAGCACCTTCGCGCACAGCTGCAGAGTTCGTTGTGTGCAACTTGAGGCCCATGAGGCCATCGAGCTCGGGCAACGGCAGCAGCAGCGGCAGCAGTAGCAGCAGCAGCAGCAGCGAAGCCAGGGAGAAGACAGAGAGCCGTCTTGACCAGCCCTGTGCTGTCGTGCTGCAGTCAGCGACAATGCTGAAGGAAGATTCGCTGCTGCAGCAAACTAAAGAGCATCAGCAGCTAGCCAAGCTGCTGCGGGACACCACAGCACGAGCTACTCGCTACAAGGAGAGGCTGCTGCGTGCAGAGGAGGAGAAGCGCGAGCTGCTGCAGACTGTAAGGCAGCTGCAGCAGCAGCAGCAGCAGCTTCAACAGGAGGTGGAGCGAACAACCTATCAGTTTAGGGCCCAACAGGAAGCCTGGGGGAGAAAAGACAGACAGCAGCAGGAGCAGCTAAGCCACCTCGCCAGCAAACTTAAGACAAACGCCCAGGAACTGGGAGCTCTACGAAACTTCAGGATGCTTGAAGCTGAGGGCAGACAGCTGCAGCAGCAGCAGCAGCTGCAGCAGCAGCAGCTGCAGCAGCAGCAGCTGCAGCAGCAGCAGCTGCAGCAGCAGCAGCTGCAGCAGCAGTTGCAGCCGGTGCAGCAGCTGCAGCAGTCGCAGCTGCAGCCGCTGCCACCGCCGCAGCAATCGGAGCAACTTCTGCAGCAGCAGCAGCCGCAGCTGCAACAGCTGGAGCAGCCGCAGCAGCAGCGGCAACAGCTCCAGCAGCAGTTGTCCGCGGAGGGCGCAACGGAGAAAGTAGAAGGATACAAGAAGGCTCCCTTCCGCAACCGTTCCTACACACATGCCGTAACCGAGCTACACCGCCAACAGCCAGCAATAGCAGCAGGAGCAGCAGCTGCAGCACCAACAGCAGCAGGGGCAGCAGCAACGGGCTTCCGTCCCCGCAGCAAGACTGACTATCGGGCCAGCCCGATGAGTCTTCAGGGAGAGCAGCTCTTGCCTTTTGAAAGAAACCAAGGGGCCCTAGAAAGTTCCTCAACAAGCACCCAGGGGTCAGAAGTGAGCCCCAAACACCAGCAGCAGCTGCCGCAGCAGCAGCAGCAGCAAATGGAAATGGGAGCGCACAGCCAGTGGGGATGCGAGCCGCTGGCCCTGCAGAGCGTCAATCGCCAGCGCGCCAAGACAGCCCACATGTCCCAACAATGGCTGCAGCAGCTGCAGCCCCGCAACACCGATCTGGCGCAGCAGCAGCAGCAGCTGCTGCTGCTGCTGCCTGCAGATGCTGCAGAATGGGGACACAGCAGCAAACAGAAAGCGGCGGGGCAGCTAAAAAGCAAATCCAAAAGTGTGATGCTGCGCTCTCTCCCTCAGCGCGAAGAACTGACCGCTTCGGGCCGGGCGCTGAGAGGACTTTTGCCGCAGCAGCAGCAGCAGCAGCAGCAGCTGTGGCAGCAGCAGCCCACGCAGCAACTGCAGAGAGAACTGCAGCAGGACCTGCAGCAAGAGCAGCTGCTGCTGCAGCAGCAGGAGGGGGATGAGGTAGTGCAGTGGCAGGCTGAGGCACTCGAGGATGAAGAAGAAGCCTCAAGTGAAGGGGCCGCGGCCTCCCTGTCTTCTCTGCAGCTAGACGGCGACAGCTCCGACGGGGGGCCTCCAGGGGCCCCCCACTCCTCTAGGGCCCACCGCATGCAATCTTGCTTCGTCCCAGGGAGCCCCAGTTCTAGGGGCGCAGAAGCAGCAGCAGGCAGCAGCAGCAGCAAAGCTCTCAGCACCCCTCGCAGCGCCACACAGTTTCCCCAGAGCCTGGAGCGCCAGGTGCAGAGCATCCGGCAGCAGCTGCTGCTGAACGACAGCTACAAGCTCGCAGGCCTCGCCCATAAGCAGAAGCAACAGCAGCAGCAGAGGCAGCAGCAGCAGCTAGAATGCCTGGATCCAGAAGGCACAAACGCAGCTGCTGCGGAAGCAGACGAAGAAGGAGACAGAGCTGCAGCTTTTCAGAAACACCAAGACACTCGACAACCAAAGCAGCAGGCAGGGGGACTTCCAAGGCTTAGGGCAGCCTCGACAGCAGCAACAGCAGCAGCAGCAAAGGCAGCGCCTGGCGGCTCCCCTTCCTCGCGAATTCGGAGCCAGACCGTCTCGGTGAGCAAGTTGAGGGGAGACTGGGATCAGCCAGAAGATGCAGCAGCAGCAGCAGCAGAAGCAGAGAGAGCAGCCGAGAACTTGGAGGCAGCTCTTGATGAAAGCAGCGAAGAAGACGGAGCTAGCAATGGGCCGGGTCGGCAGCAG